TTGCCCGCACATCGCAAATCTTGTACGTCAAAATAAAAACTTTTTTAAAAAGGACATTTTCAATTGGAAATCTATAATTTTTGGGAAATGGGAAAAAAAAAACGACGATACGTATTGACAATTAATAATGTAGTAATAAATTCAAACAGATTAGTAAAAAAACAAAATGTAATATCAATGTTATTATACATAAACAAAAATAAACAAATATGCAGTTTTTTTAAAACTCGATAAGTACATATTATGATAACAAAAATTAAAATAAACTATGATCTGCTCAGAGAAAATAATAGTTTTAGCTATTATTATTCAAACATCCACTTCGGAATCATCGTCCTGCCCTATCTCATCAGCATTATTGTCAACAGTTAGGGCAGGTTCTTTCATAACTTCATCATAAAAAGTAGTAACTTCATCCGTAAGACCCATGCCACGTAAGAGCTTTTTAACGTAACTTTTCTTGAGGTCACTAACATGATTCACTGTTAGAAGCTTCTGAGCTTCTGATATCCGATTAGCGTTTTTACACCTTTTTTGAAACTACTAACTTCTATTTCATAACCAGTATATGTAGTGCGGACTTTGCAAATAACTGTCCCTTTCATTTTCTGGTGCTTTTTTTGTTGGTGATGTACATTGCCTAGTTTATAAATCCAAACTTGCCTTGAGTAAAAAACTTCACCAACAGACATTTTTGGTAATGGCTGATTTTGTTGGCAATCGAAACAAACTTTAAATGTATTTTCTGTGTGGGTTTTCATGTATTTGAAAAAGGCCTTTGCTCTTATCCTATGAAGTCTGTACTTGGTGAGCAGTTCATTACGTTTTTCCAACATATTGTTTTTTCTTATATATACCAGAAACTCCTCACAAATGAAACATGTATCTGAGTTTGGATTTCCCAACCCAAGGTTAAAATTTTGATAAAAAATCTTCTTGTTTTAGCCAAAGAACATTTAAAGTTTGTTGTATCACAAAATATTTTGTACATTTTCTGTATGTTTAACTCAGGAGGTAACTAGTTTCTTCTGAATTTTTCACGCGAATAGTGATTTTATCTGCATTTGTAGCTGCTTATGTGTGTTTTTATTGCTTCAGAATTACCCTTATCAATCTGACTCAGTACACGACCTCCCCGCTTTTCAACTAATAGTTCTCCGGCGATAAATTTTTTTGAAATACCAGACAGTCTATCTTTTCTTGCACCTAAAACATGAGACAAGTTCAGAGGAACAACTAATAAAGATCAATTTTGAATTACCAGTTATCTTTTGAAATGTGGCAGCACAAACAGGAATATTGTCTCCAGAAGTTCTAATTGAATATTTAACCGAAAGTTTTCTGTTTTGCCTCAAAACTGTTTCATCTGTAGTTTTTCGCTTAGGAACATCAACTTGCATGAATTTAAGCAGTATTTTATCTTGGTCAATTTTTTTCGCGTCATTTGCATATACCATTTCCCTAAAACCTATAAAGTCTGTGAAAATCTCCATTCTACTTCGAATTGAAAAATAGTTAACTTACCTAGTATCTCATTTCTTGTTAGTTCTCCTGCATTACAAACAACACCTTTTCTCTTGCCTTCGAAATGATTACATGCGATTTCCGCTTCACTTAACCTCTCTTTTCTATAACGCGTAATCTTTGGTCTTACTTGAATGCTATTTTCCTTAGATAAGAGATATAGATAAGATAGAGATAAGAGATACGAATTTTTTTCCCTTTTTCATGAGTTTTACGTCTTTACTATATTCTCCCGTTATTTGATGCAAATTTCAAAAAGAAAGCACAAAACACTGGAGCAGAGCTGAAACTGTACTAACAAAATGAATCATTTAAGTAATGCAGGTTCACTACTTATCGAGTTTTAAAAAAGCGCGCATATTTATCGAGTTTTGAAGAACCGCAGAAATTTGTCTATGCTGTACCTCTGGTAGTGACCATGTTTTCATGAATCTGACGCTACCAGCTGGTCGGGCATTGAATTTTTATATAGAATCCATGTATAAGTCAATTTCGGTAAAAATGTACTTATCGAGTTTCAAAAAAACGGTCCTCAATTCTCCTTCTAACGATAGAAAAACGAAGTCTGTAGCTCTAATGATTCCTGAGACCGAACGTAAAGGTGGGCACGAATCGGTTCCAGAAAAATGAATTGAATATTCGAATAATCGAGTATTCGAATATTCGTTAAATATTCGAGTGTTCGTTTACCGTTCACTGTTTTCCAAGAAGAAAAATCATTATCTCATATCATTTTTGGCAACTAGCCGCAACGGATAAAAAAGTGCCTTTGTCGGCACATTAATTGTAACACCGCGCAAAAGTTGATGACGCGAATCACCAGAACATAGAGACGTAATTTTATATTCATTTGCAGGAAAGTAAATATGATTATTTTCATTTGCTTGTAAATATATGGGTATTTGTTAAAATGCTTGTAGAATATGAATCATTTATTTTATAAAAGTATACAAAGTGCATATAAAGATATTTGCACCTTGTGACTTTGATAATGTTGGTGTATTTGAATATTCGAATATTCGAATAGTCGAATTATTCGAGCTTGATACCGAGCCCTACAAAAAACGCTTAAAATGTGTAGAAAAATGTCTATTATTTCGAATCTGAAACTTCTAGCATGTTTTTCAATTAGTGCGATGGATTGCCCGTGTCCGTGTGCTGAAAATGATGCAAAATTTAAGATATTTTGAGAAAATTAAAATTTTTTTGAAAAATCGACCCCCTCCCTTGGAAGAATTTCGGTCAAAAATTAAAATTTCACATGCGTGTTTTTTTGTGCTCAGTCGAGTCCTTCCGACGTAAGGAGGTCATAAATATGCGTATATAAAGTGTTTGGGCCAATAATGAGAAAAAAATCGTGGGCCGAAAATCGCGAACTCTCAAAAACCGCTTAAAATGTCTATTATTTCGGATTTGAAACTTCCAGCATGTTTTTCAATTAGTTCGACTCATTCCCCGTGGCCGTGCGCTKAWTATTATTATGCAAAATTAAAGGCTTTTTGAGAAAATTCCACAAGTCCCCATCCTCCGTTCCACATTACCTTCGCAACTCTCTGCTTTACAGTGCAGCAGATATAAAAATATTCGTGCTTTGTCACGCCACTGGATTCGGATAAGATAAATACCCGCAGAAACTCAAATGCTGATACTTGATAACGATATTGTCTCAATTCTTTGCCATTATTCAAGACTCCTGCGGATTAGGGTTGTGTTTTTTTTCAGTCACAATACTTTTATGCTGGTACTCGTTTAATCGCTTTGTATTTTCTTTGCGGTGCTGGGGGTTGAATAAGTGTGTGTTTAATGCATTCAATGCGAGCCTCAGATGAAGTTTTCTTATGGAAGTTTATCAGAGCCGTTATAATTAGTTGTCTTACTGGCTGGGCTACTCAATGAGCTTAGAAGCAGCGTAGTTTCAGTATTACTGTACGACTAGGAAAGGAATTGTTTGATCTTCAAATTTAAGAGGCGGTTTTCATCTTCAACATTTGAGGACACTCCAATTTTTATTCCTCAATTTGGAGGCCTGTTGAGTGACATTGCACTCACAAATGCGTTCCAGGTGCCCCCTCAATTCAGGCATGTTGAGCCAAATTGAAAAGGCACGCGCTCTATGTCACGTGCCTGCACACTGTTCAGGTAATAAGGGAGCTTAAAACCAGGAATTATAAAAAGCAGAGGGTGAGAGCCCCTTTGAAGAATGCACGAATTCGTTTCGGCCACTAGTGAGTCATTGGTCGATTGTTATCTTACGTTAATTAAGTTCGATTCAACTAGTCTACATGTTTACTACATGCAAACTGTCTTGGTTGCTTGGTTTCAGTCCGGGCGCAAATAACTGATCGATTCAGTGGTTTGGCATTTTTTTCTTCAGAGTGGTGTTTTCTTTAAAGATAGAGCTTTAAACTGAAATGAAACTCACTAAAAAAATCATGTTAACGTCATGGTTCTGGCTTTATTGAAAAGGCAATTATATGCCATCATAGCTTAACTAGAATTTGGTGTAAAATGCGCCACGGCTGGCTCGAATGAAGACCAATCTGGAAGTCCAATTTTTGTTCACTTCAAAATTTCTTCCAGACCTTAAAACGCAAGAAACAGTGAGATTTTCTGGATATAATGGAGTCTCAATAATGTTTTCTGGATTTCCGTCGCTTCAAATCCGGCTATGGCAGGCTTTTTTGTCTAGTGGACTCAAAGTAGTCGAAAATTGGACTTCTTTCATGGATTGCTCTTCATTTGCCAACAAAATCATATCTAAGTTATAATGGCATACAATTGTCTTTTCAATAAAGCCAGTACCTTGACCTTAACAGGCATTGTATGAGTTTTTCTTTCAATTTAAAGAGTCCATTTCTAAAAACACCTTTTATTTATATATGTGAGTTTGTGCCTATATTGTAGAAGCCGCCAAAATATGTGAGAAATTTGCAAGAAATAAAGGATCAAAGAGTTGGGTTGGACCTTTGAATGGTTTTACGTGCCTGGTTCTGGTTCTTATGGATGGTGCAATCGAATGGTATCAAAATATAGAGCATATTCCATGAAAAAAATACACTAGTTTCTCTTGTGTTTGAGAAACAAATCTTGAAGTTTTTTCAGACAGAGAGTATATTTTTCTACTTATTGTACTTACTTATCTACAACCTCTACAAATAGTTATCTATTAAAAATGCATTTAATTTTTTTCAATATTTTCAGTAATAATCCAGTAAAAAACTAAGTTCAAAAATGCCATATTTCAGTTTTACCCTGCATTTCATGGGCAAATTAACAAAGGAGAAATTAAAAAACGCCAATTTGTTTCCTCAAAAATCGAGCTAATAACACCCGTAATGAACCACTGTCGTTATTTTCATCTGAATAAAGGTAAATTTCTACATGTTCGACATTGATATACAGTTTAAGGTTTGAAGAGCATAACGAAAAACCGTGCATGTTCAAGAGTAGGTACCAATTTTGAGTCGGTTCACATATTTACGGCTTTGGTTTGCATATTTTAGCTTGTTGTAAAGTACAGTATCTGTTCTCTCAAATAACGTTAAGCAAGCAAACTGGAAAGGAAAATTGGGAATGGGTCTTCAGGTACGTTTTGCTATGGCACTTTTGTCGTTTTTACGGATATAAATTGCCTAGAAGGACTATTCATTTGCATTATATTACATTTATAACAGTCGGTGATCCGATTTGAATATTTTTTTGTCGAATAATGGTTCTATTCGTGGACAGAATTCAAGTTATAAGGTAAGCAAAAAATTTAAAATTTTTCTGCCTGCGATATCGGGCGAAAAAAGTACGATGTTATAGCCTGATGTATTCGGAGTAATTTGAATTTTTAATCGTCTGGTTATTCTAACCCATTCGAAAGATATACACTTTTCATGGCCGGTCACATTTTCTGCAAGAAATTTTCTAATTTTTTTGCTTTTCTGTTATTTTCGAATTAAAAAGAAAGTTTAGATAAATTTTGTGCGGAAAATGTGCCCGGTCATAAAAAAATTATATTCCTCGAATGGCTTAAGATAAACAGACGATTAAAAATCCAAATCACTCAGAATACATGAAGCTTTAACAGCATATTATTTTTTTCTGTCTGAGCTACCAGATATTGCCAGCAGACGGACTTAAATTCTGATCAAGAAAACTGGTCGCAATTTAAACACCCTTTGCGGCACGGATGAGCCTACGAAAGGTTCAGCAAGAGAACCAGGTTTTGTTCAACTTTATTTTTTCATGAACATATGTTTTTTGGGGATTTTTTAAAATCCTGTTGGTAAGGCATTACACAGTTTTGAATCGTGTACTGATTAATTTTCTGCCTAATGTTTGGCATACAAGATTCATCGAAAGGGTGAACAATTAAATGATTAAATAATTTATTCTGTAGTTCGTTGTATTTTTTCTCGAAAAAGTGTATGCATGTTCAGTTTGCTACCGGCAGTAGACGAAATCGGTCGATAATCGCATTCTTAGATGGGAAATAAAGAAACATTGTGGCCCTTATGGCAAGTGCGGAAGTTTATAAAAGTTTAGTGAATTTCTTGAAAATGGAGGATGGGGCGCCAACTTGCAAAATGCTGGTAATAATGATCTGTGATCTATAAATCTTTTAGCTTGAACTAAGTTTAGTTTTTCGCCATCAACTGACGTTTTATGGATTCATTATATTTCTCTCTCTTTACAATTTTAAATAAGTTTCGCTTTGGACAGATTTCCTGCCGTACTAAACACATTTTCTTCTTTCTTTCCAGGTGGCACTACGCAGATTTCGGTAGGCATATAATTATTTTTCCCCTGGTTCCCATGTGCATGTAGAACGTTAGTACCATATTCATCAACTGACTCGTAGGGTGGATTTGGTACCGATTGAACTATTGGTTCTTTCGTAGTTAATTTCTAAACTTTGGGAATATTTTGGGCGGCTTTGTGTTTTTATATTAAGCTCATCTGAAGCTTTTGGCTAAAGAACCGCCTCAGATATCGAAATTTGGGTCCAGTATTATGTTTTTTGTGAAAAAAAGGAAATATTTTTAATTTTGCCTGTTTTTTTTTAAATTAAGGGTATGCAGTTTCGTGAAAGCGTTCATTTTCAAATCGACTTTTCGGAAGCGCACAAAATTCAGGATTTCATGCGATTTAAATGAACTTTTGAAAGTTTGAAGGAATTTTGACGAGATTTAGAGAGCAGTCTTCTTTACTGAACGCACTCTGAACTTGTAGAGTATTTTTCGTTTCTGTGAAATTCATTTTTGAAAAACTCAATTCAAAATGTGTGCCGCTATAGTTTTTTGAAATTCTGCGAACATTTTTTTGAAGTGA